AGGAGGAGGCGACGTGAGAGGAGGAGGAGGAGGAACAGGCAACGTGAGACGAGAGGGGCATTAGCAGTCATTGCGCGCCAATGAATCAGGCTGAGGTCAGCGAAAGGATGTCGCGGGGAATAGCGTGGAGGAGGGGAGAGAGAGAGAGAGAGAGAGAGAGAGAGAGAGAGAGAGAGAGAGAGAGGTGGGGTTGGCCTGACAGGGTCAAAATAAGTCTCAGCGGCGAAGGGGGTGCTGGGAGGGGGAAGGGAAGGGGGAAGGTGGCGGGTGCGAAGGGGGGAACGTGCGAAACGTGGAAAAGCGCAGGAAGCGAAGCAGAACTCGAGAACGGATAAGCTAAGGCCACGTGGTCCAGTCTCTCCATACCCACGAGATGACTTTTCGATTTTGAAAAGACATCAGCGGCCAGACAAGGTGATGAAGGATGAGGACAACGAGGAGGAGGAGGAGGAGGAGGAGGAGGAGGAAAAGGGAGGAAGACGGCATACTTACTGCGTTAAGACTGCCGCTGGAAGCTACGCCAGCTGCTAGAAGGGAAGATGATGACGCCATAGCCGCCGCCGCCATATCTGATTCTTCTTCGTGCTCCTTTGTTCCTTCACCAGCCTTATCTCCACACTTCTTGCTTCGCTCGGTAGAGCCTTCAACTGCCCCCCTGTCCTCCCCACACCAGCGGATCGCCGCGCGATTCTTCTCTGCTTCGCGCCAGCCGCCCTTGGTGCTATCACTCAGCCTTCATACCCCTCCGCAGCTTGCGCGCGGAAGAAGGGCGTGTGGCAAGGACGGCCAGCCGCCCGGGGGACGTGAGCCGCGGGCGGGGGGAAGGGGGAGGAATACGAGGGGACGTGTGGACTGGGCGCCCAGCGGCGGCACCACTTCTCTTCGTTCATTCAAGGTTTTCTTTTTCTTGGGCCTCGCTCCACTACTGTAGACTTGTGCAGAACGAGAGTGAATCTTCCGCTAGAACATGGAAAGATACACAGCCATGATTTTTGTCTTTTGTGCATGTCGAGCGTAGCCGAGCGAGGCCCCTTTTCTCGGTTTTGCCCTTCTTTTTCCACTTTTTTTTTTTTCTTTTTTCTTTTTTTTCTTTCTTTTTCCACTTTGTTCTCTTCCTGTGGGGCTGGATTCGAACTCGAGTCTGAAGAAAGAAAAAAAAAAGTTCAAAACCCGTCCTTTTTATTTATTTATTTATTTGTTTGTTTGTTTGTTTATTTATTTTTCCGTCCTTTTTTTCGTTTTTGTCTTTTAGCGAGCCGTCCTCTTTTGTTTTTCGTCTTTCGTCTTTTGTGCATGTGGAGAGTAGTGGAGCGAGGCCCTGCGTGTCGCGACGTGGCCCCATTGTTTGTCATGTTGCAAAGAGGCAAAAGAGGATAAAGTAGACCGCCAGTGATTCGTACACACGTAAGGAAACAAAAAGACCTTATCTTCCAAGGAAAAGGCCTGTGTTTACTGAACCGCGAACAGAAACCTTCAGCTCCTGATGACCAGGTCAGGCAGGTCAGGGGTCAACTCCTTTTACGGACTATGACGGAGAGACTGGTCATCTGAAACAACGAAGTAAAAAACAGCCCATCTAGCTAAATTCTGTTCATATGAACAAACATGTCATGATCTATACAAAGTAGATCATGAATGGCACACACACACACACACACACACACACACACACACACACACACACACACACACACACACACACACA